TTGAACACCACGACCCTGCACCATGGGAAGGAAAGCTCTGAAGGCTTTGATGACCACTTTGATCTCCAGATGGTTTATGTGGAGGTTTCGTTCTTTTGCAGACCAGAGAGCATGAACCTTGTGCTGTCCGCAGTGTGCTCCCCATCCTGTCGGACTGGCGTCCATTGTCACTTGCACGGTGAGCCGAAGGGGTCAAAATGGTCTGCTTATCTGCAAGTGTGGGGGATAATTCCACCACTGGAGTTGTGTTGCAAGCTCTGGAGTTACACGAAGGCGTTTCCTTTGGCTGTCTCTCATGGGATTGAAGAGTGCCAGGAACCATGACTGCAGGGACTTCAGCTTGAGACGCGCATGGGCCAAAGCTGGAGTGGTTGAGGCCATAAGGCCTAACAGGTGTTGAACATGTTTCGCTCTCACACGGGCCCTTGGCCAAAACCTCTTGAGAGCCTTGCGAATTTTCAGAATCCGATCTTTGGGCAGAAAAATCCGGCCTCTGGTAGCATCTAGCCGTACTCCGATGTAATGCACTACCTTGGAAGGTTTGTGATGTGACTTTTTCATGTTGATGGTGAGGCCTAATTTTGGAAGCAACCGCAGAATGAATTTTATGTCTTTCAGAGCCTTGGACGGGGAGACTACCAACCAATCGTCTATGTAAGAGTAGACGTGGATGCCGTTGAGGCGTAGGTATGACCTTTGTGAATGTCCTGGGAGCTGTTGAAAGTCCGAAAGGCAAAGCCAGGAATTGATAAATGGTTCCCTGGAAGATGAACTGCAGGTACTTGCAATGATCTGGATGGATGGTCACATGGAAGTATGCATCCTTCAGATCCACCACCACAAACCAATTGTTTCTCTTTAACAGGGGCATGATGGATTCCAAGGTCACCATCCAGAAGTGCCTTGGATGTAGGTAAGTGCTTAGGATTCTTAAGTCGAGGATAGGTCTTATTCCTCCATCTCTCTTTGGCACGGCGAAGTACCAGGAGTAGAATCCATTTCTTAGATCTGTGATTGGGACAGGTTGAATGGCGTCCTTTTCTAGAAGAGATAGAACCTCCTCTTCTAGAGCTGGGTCGAAAGATGTATGAGTTACGTACCCTAAGGGAGGAAATTCTATAAATTCCAGTCGGTAGCTGAATTGGATGATTTTTAATGCCCATGAGTCGTTTGTGATGGTAGTCCAGTTTGCCAGAAATGGTTGAAGTTGTGTGATGATGTGATTTCCTTTTATATCTGTGACAGAGTCAAAGATACTGTTTGGATTTTTTGGCAGGCGGCTTATAGGATTGCCTATGCTGAGACTGCTGAGGACGATAGCTGGGAGCGGAGGAAGAAGCTTGAGAAGATCTTTGCTGAGATAGGTTCTTATATGGTCTGTATTGCTGTGAAGATTGCTGATATTGTGAATAAGACTTTCTCCACTGAAATTTATTATATCTAGGCTGAGGTTGGATCGAGTAGGATTTTGCAGTCTTTTTTGCCTTATGCAGTTCCTCCAAATGATTATCAGTTTTGTCACTGAATAGCCCAGCAGCATCAAAGGCAAGATTTTCCACCTTGGTTTTGACATCCTCCAGGATAGTTGGCAGATCTCAGGCAAGCATGCATGCGCAGGGTGATTGCAGACATGAGAACTCTGGCAGCGGTCTCTGCTACATGCCGAGTCGACAACCTTTGATGTTTTGGCTTCTTCATAAGAATTTAAGAAACCTTGTCTTACATCTTCTGGGATCATTTTGAGACCAGGTAAAATTTTGCGCCAGAATTGTTTCTGGTATGCTCCCAAAGCAGTTTGATAGTTTATGATCCGCACGAGGAAAGAAATTAAAGAGTAGATTTTTCTTCCAAATATCTCCAGCTTTTTACCCTCCTTGTTTGTGGGGGTAACATGCGATTTTCCAGTGGGCTTGGTGCAACTGGTTTCTACAATTAGTGAGTTCGGTATAGGGTGCTTAAGAAGAAATTTCGTGACATTACCGTGGACACGATACAGGTTCTCAGTGCGGCGAGAAATAGAGGGAGAAGTAGAAGGTTGCT